AATGAACAATCAAAGGTAAATAATGTAGCAAAATGAGTTTTTGAGAATTTCTTATATATATATTTATTAAAAATAATTTTAATTTAAAGCAAAAACCCGTTGTTCAAAAAGTCCACCTTGGTGCAGTGAAAGATTATAAGCAGAAAAAAAATAAGCGCTTACAAAAATGGCTTCTTCTCTTCGTCTTCAAGGCCCAAAACGAATAAATTTCCCCAAAATATATATGAATTCTGACACCAGTAGATAGATCGTGTTCCCTCCCTTTTCCTTTCTCTCTCTAAAACTCCCTTTGTTTTTAGGGAGAGAAAAACCTCCACCGCCATGGCTACCCACCGCCGGCGACACCACCACCACCACCATCAACACTCTCATAACCGTTTCCGTTACCTTATCCCTGTTATTTCCGCAATTTCGGCTGCTATTCTTGTCCTGTACGGTTTAATCTCTCTGCTTGCACCTTCACCTGACCATCTCCATCACCTTGTACGACGGACACCGGTAATTGATTTCTACATAACGTATACTTGCTTACTTCGTGTACTTGTTTACATGTGTTTGTAAGAATGTGTTCAGTTTGCGAATCGTTGAACTTGTATTGATGGTTTTTTTTTTCTTTTTCTTTTTCAGTTCGATGATAATGGCGTTGGTGATGATTCACCTCGAGTTACTTCGCTGTTTAAAGTTCCGGTTAGGTTTTTTCGCTACAGAAGTTGATGTTTTGTTGTTTGAATTAGAAGCTTGGATTGTGCGTGGTGTGATTTTTGAGTCTTGATTGGATCTGAGTTTGTTATATAACCTAATTTGGATGTAATTTGTTTATGGTTTGGGATCTAGATCAGTGGTGGGAGTAAGATGGTGAGTGATCGAAGTCTATGGAGTACACGGATGTCAAAGTTTTATTTTGGATGTAGCAATGCTAGCAATAAGTTTCCAAGTAAGTGATTAATGAAATAATCTCAGTAAGACAGGGGAGTTCTTGTATTTTTTTTAAATATGCGGGTTAAATTTGGATGTTTTATTGAATCACAGAAGTAGAAACAGTCACATATCCCAATCGATACTTGCTGATAGCCACCAGTGGGGGTTTAAACCAACAGAGAACTGGGGTAAGTCCTGATTTATGAAAGTTCTTTTTGATATTCACCAGTAAATGATTTATTTTACTAGCTGTTCGATGACACCTGTTTTCACAGATTACAGATGCTGTTGTTGCTGCACGAATTCTGAATGCTACTCTTGTTGTTCCAAAGCTGGATCAAAAGTCTTTTTGGAAGGATGCTAGGTTAGTCATAGAGAAATGCTTGCACATACAATGTACATGAGTGGGATTATAACAAATTTTGGCCAGAAAGTCTGTTATAACTAACGGTACCTTCTCTTCTACAGTACTTTTTCAGAGATATTTGATGTTGACTGGTTTATATCACATCTATCAAGAGATGTAAAAATCATAAAAGAACTGCCCCGCAAGGGAGGCAAGATTTGGACTCCTTATAATATGCGTGTGCCTAGAAAGTGTAACGAGAGATGCTATCAGATTCGTGTACTGCCTGTGCTTTTGAAGAAGCATGTAAGTGATAACATTTTATATCATCTGCAGTTCTGCACTATGTATTTTATAAGCATAGGTCTCTTGCATGATTTCCAGTGACCATGAAACTCTTCTTTGGAGTTATTTAAAACTTCCTGGTCAATTTCTTGAATTTGCTAGTCCATATACAGTGACCCCTAAATGCATCCACATAATGCATTAACTGCCTTAGATCTATGTCTGACGGTTAATAATTTCATATTTCCTGAACAATAAACATAAGCACTTATATTATGAATATAACATGACAATGTTTCCATGAGATTGCAGTCACCAGTGCGTATATAAACGGTGTACACTTGAAACACATTAGTTGTTGTTTATGGATACCCCAAACCCCGAACTTCAAACTAATTTTTACTTTCTGAAGTAATATGCGAGAACTCTGAAATATGCTATTGATAATTGCTATGATGGCAGCAATTCCCTATTTCAAAATGCAAGTGCGAAGGGGGGAAATTCGTAACCAGTAGAGAGAGACAGTAGTATGTCACTGAATAATCATTACCAGGCCAGAGACTGTATAAGGTGAAAGTGATGACTATAAGAGTAGGGCAGGTATAGACAAGAAATCGCTAATGATTGGGTTTCTGAGTTAACATTGGATGACTAGTGAAAACTGTAATGAAGAGCACTCAAGAACATTGTTCCCCCAAGTATGTGTTGGGTTTCATGATCGATCTGACTTAAAACTCTTATAGGGTTTCTGTCTTCTTAGGATATTGGGTGATTGTCGTGAACTAGCAAAGGAGGCTAGAGATTTTAAAACCAGGGTAAAGCAGTTGGTAATATTGATTCATTTCTTTCTCTGAGGCGGATCCAGAATGAATATCACTTCCTTGCTGAAACTATATTTTCAACAATTTGATCGTCATAAACTGAGTTTGGATGGCATATAAGATAGAAGGTTGACTTGAGTAAACTGCACTAGAAATTCGGCAACAGGTTGAAGTAGATTCATAGCATCTAGGTGAATGAGCATAAGGTGTAAAACTGAGGTTTAGTTTGGTGCTGTGTATTAGGAGAAAAAATGGTGGATTGACATGGTTGAACACCTTTTTAGGTCATAAGGTATGTTTAGAGATCAAATAGTACTTTAAAGTATATTCATTGCTTCTGGTGTAACAGTAAAGCTTCTGTTTAGAATACTCACAGTCACACATGCAGATTGAGGCAGACGGAGAGGAGGAGGGGGGGGGGGGGTGAGACTACTGGGGAAGGAATAATTTAAGCTGTAAAATACTTGAATTGCATGAAGAGCATTTAACCAACCCGTCAACCATATGCTTCGACCCGCATTGAATGCTGGTTCATTTATATGTTGATGATCCATTGCCACTGGCAGCCACCACATTTTCTATCATTTGGTTCCTATCACCAAATCCTGTTTCCGAGTCACTAAAGGACTAAATATTCAGACTAACCATACCCCGTTGGAAACTCACCCATCAGGAGTTGATCATCCATTATTTTTGGATGAAACCAAATGTTACAAATTCGTGAAGTGTTCATGTGATGATTGCCTGGGTTGATGAACCTTAATCGCCCATGATTGATCGTGTTACTAATGCCTTTAGTTATGAATTTTTGTAATGGGTCAGGATTCCTTATGTTAGTTTTAATCTAGGGCGGAACATTGGTCTGAGAATTGAGGTCTTCTGCAGTAGAGTGCGCAGGCATCATTAACTTTGTGAAGACATACTTTTGCCTGCTGGCTTGCCTTATTCTTATGAGGGCAAACACTTCTTTCTGTTTTTTGTTTTCCCATCTCTTGTCAAAGATTGAAGATGGATATATTCTACCAAGTCTTACTGGGTCCAAAGTGGATACCCTGGATCACTAAACTTCTACAAGTTCGTATGGAACATCCATACCCTTCAATTATACTGAAAAATAATTCTCAAAAGTCAAAATTATCTTTTACTTGCCTATCCTGCTTACCTTTCTATGTCAACCTGAAAAAATAATTCCAGTTATGCTTCCATCTTACCCTAAACCAATATCCGTACATAGAATGAAATGCATGGTTCAGTAATCAGTAATGAGTATACCTTAATGGTTTATCTTTGACCAAATGAAGACCACGTACAGAATATAGAGCAAGCTTATCCAAATCGTAGCAAAACAAACTGACCCAACAACTACTGAAAGAAAAGAAAATGTCTAACAGTTGCTGGAATCCTAGAGCTCATACAATAATATATGGCTACAGAAGATTGGCTGTAAATTGGACTGTTCCATACCATGAAACTGTGGCCCCTCTCCCCCCGGGTGGGTGCGCGGCTTGGCCTTATGAAGCCATCTGCCACCAACCAACACTAAACCTTCACTGTTCCTATTTTCACGTGGCCACATATTCTGTTTCTTGTTGGATCATAAGTAGTTATGTGACTTCAGCCAGAAACATACTCAACATATGGGATTCATATGGAGATTCAAATTCTAAAAGTTTTCACAGCTGTAAATATTCACATATAGTATTGAAATCTGACATTTTGATCAAATTTATCAAAGTGTTGGATATCATCATCTTTCCAGCATGCGTCAACAAGAACAATTTATATTTGAGTTTCTGCTGACACAAAATCGACCTTTTGACATATGCCAAACATAATCTTCTTTCTAGAATGGAGAGACTGTACTTTTTGGTTTCTCCAGCTGTATTCTCCGGGTGTGAACTTTATCTGGATGTCTACATTTTTGAGGTTATTTAGCATATACATGTGCACTTATAGATGTGAGTCAGGAGGGTTATCATACAATGTGCCTCAATTGTTGGCATGATATTCACTAAGGTCTCTCCAGTTTTGTATCTAAGTAATTCATAATTTTCTTCTTTGGACAGGCTGTTCAGCTGAGCAAGTTTGACTACAGACTTTCTAACAAGTTGGAGACTGATTTGCAAAAGCTTAGATGTAGGGTAAACTACCATGCTTTGAAATTCACCGATCCTATAAATAAAATGGGTCAGAAATTGGTCAACCGAATGAGGAAGATGGGCAAGCACTATGTTGCTCTTCACCTGAGGTACTTGTGGTTTCTTATGTTGCTGCACTTAAGCTGACTCTATGGTGTCATTATTATTTTCATATTATCCATCATCTAGACAATTTTGTTATACGTAGAGAAGTAACCGTAAGTCTCCTTATCTTGCTCATTTTATTGCATATGCTGTTTTTAATTTTTAGCTTGGTTAGTAAAAAATGTTGGCATGACTCCCTCCTATAAGCCATTGATATTTATGGTGCTTGAAACCTGCGTAAAAATTGCTAGACTTGTACAGTTGAAGGCTTGGTACTCTGTTCTTCTGTTAATGCTTGCGGTTTTGTATGACTCAGTTCTTGCACTTTACTTCGAGCTGTTAGAAAACTTGCATTCCTCGTGCTAACTACGATTTTTACCATTTTACGATACAGGTTTGAACCTGATATGCTTGCATTTTCAGGATGCTATTATGGTGGTGGAGAGAAGGAAAGAAAAGAACTGGGTAAAATACGGAAGAGGTGGAAAACTTTGCATGTAAGCACTTGTTCTCGTGCCTGGTTGATTTCTTCTTTGTGCAAAAGTAGCCCCAGAACCATAAATTTAACAGATATTATTTTGATCTCGATTTTGCGTGGAGAACCATAAATTTAACAGATGTCTAATTTTATTTTCTACTCAAAATCCTTAATCTTGTTATGATTCTGCTCACTTGCACAAATTGTAGTAGTTTTTTGGGGTGGTTACATGAGACAATTTGAGTTCCAACAAATTCAAGATGGAACCAAACCAAATGAACCCAGTATATCCCACGTGGAGGTAGGGTATGGGGAGGATAAAATGTGTGCAACACCCCCGGCTTGTGAAACTATACACCGTAGTCTAACTTACTAATCAGGTGCAACACCCCCGGATAAAATGAGTAATAACATATTAACATACGAATATAAGCAGGTGCAAGACAAGCAAAACCAATTTAGAGAAACTATACACCGTAGTCTAACTTACTAATCCTATCTCCCACCATCTACCTCTCCGGCTAGAGATGCACAAAAAGGCCCAATCTCAAATTCCGGCCCAGGTTTGGCCCAAAATCCCCAACCTACTGAGCCCGTTCCAGGCCAGGCCTTAAAGCCTGATTAGGCTGAAATTTTGGGGGCAGGCCTGGGCCTAGGTCTCCCCAAATGCCCGAATCGGGACCTTTTTCATCCCCAAAGCCCGGCCTCAGCCTAATAAATCCTGCATCTTTTTTGCTCTCTGGGAACGGGCTCGGAAGGCCTTGGCTCAGGCCCAAAGAAGCAGATTTCCACCCCTAGTCTGCTACCCTAGTTCTGCGTCTCCAAGAGCTCCTATCAGATAATACCATCCAGATGTTAGGTTTATGGTTAGTGTAGATAGGGTTTATGGCTTGTATATATCTGTAGCTGTGTTGCTTTCAAATACACGTGTTTCATCAAAATGATAATACATTATACTTTCATGATGGATCAAGGTATCAGCATTTGCAAACCTGTAACGTCTTTCACTTTTATAATTTAAAAGGGTTAACTTAACTTTTGGCACTTCAAAGAACGGTTTCAATATATTTCAGGAGCATAGTCTCTGAAAGAACTAGTTATAATTCATTACGAAGACATAATAATTACCTTTTGGCAAGTTCTAACAGTTTCTGATACGAATTGCAGAGCAACAATCCGGACAAAGAAAGGAGACAAGGAAGATGCCCACTTACACCCGAAGAAGTGGGTCTGATGCTGAGAGCACTTGGATATAACAAAGATGTTCATCTTTATGTGGCTTCTGGTGAAGTATATGGCGGCGATGAGACATTGGCGCCTTTGAGAGCACTCTTCCCAAACATTCATTCAAAAGACTCCATAGCCACCAAAGAAGAGTTGGAACCGTTTTCTGCATTCTCTTCTCGTATGGCTGCACTTGATTTCATAGTGTGTGATGAGAGTGACGTATTTGTTACAAATAACAACGGCAATATGGCGAAAATTTTGGCTGGGAGGAGGTATGTTCTTCGTTCTTATCAATTTATCACATCTGTTCTAGAGTACAATGTAACATTGACTTCTTCGCTGAAGACTATAGATGCACAAAAAGCCCAAGTCCAGCCTGCCTGGGCCTAGCAAACCTGAAGCCCAGGCCAGGCCTAAGAGCCTGATCTGTTTTTCAAATGCCCGAAAAAGCCTTGGCCAAGAAAACCCGGGACCGAAAAAGCCCAACCGGGACTATTTTCACACCCAAAGGCCCAGGCCCGAAAAGCCTGAGCTTCATTTGCTTACTGAAAACAGGCTCCAAAGGCCGGGGCCTGGCCCGAAAATATGGGGATTTGTGCATCTCTAGTAAGACTGTTTATCTACTAAACAGTGGAAACTATACTCCCTCCATCATGGAACAAATGCAATGTGTTTGGACCTGCAGTGTTATAGATAAAGCATACTACTTTCGGTAAAAGATTTAAAACGCTCTTCAATATTGACAAAATAGAGGAATCTTGACACTCGAGGAAAAGGAATAATGCTATCAATATCACAAAAAACTAAACTATGGTGCTAATTGTACCATGCATTATTTGTTTGTATTACAGAAGATACTTCGGACACAAACCAACAATACGTCCTAATGCTAAGAAACTGTATCGTTTGTTCCTTAACCGAGAAAATATGACATGGGAAGAATTCTCTTCACGAGTACGTACTCATCAAAGAGGTTTCATGGGGGAACCGAAGGAAGTAAGGCCTGGGAGAGGTGAATTTCACGAAAACCCAGCTACTTGTATATGTGAAGACACAGAAGCCAAATCAAAACTCGAAACTCTCCCTCGGAAATTCGGCAAGAGTAACCTTGACTTGGATGAAGTAGTTGCCGATCAGGACATTGAAAACGAACCTGAATCATCCGACCAGGATGAAGACGATGATCTTATCGGCCCTCAATTTCAACATCTAGTCAACGATACAAGTATGGACGATGATTCTTTGATATCCGAATCACCCGAACTAGAAGAGCTGCTTTCGGATTAATTACTAGATCCCAGTTTTACCATCTGTCCTTGTTGCCTGCTTGCATGCACTCTTTTTGCTGGTAATCTTTTCCTTAAAGACAAAATTTGTTTCTTCAAAATTTCTTTTGCAACCCAGGGGTTAGAGATGGGGACAAACTGGTCCTAAAAAATCTGGTCTGGTCAACGATATGGCCAGTCCAAAAAAGCCCGATCCGGGTTTTATCCGATCCTTAAAAAGAGCGGTCAGGGACCAGTCCCTCTCAAAAGAGTTTGGACTGATTATGGATCGGCGTCTGATCTGTATTGTTTGTGTTAAGCAAGCACTATAGGTTAGTGGTAAAGGTTATAGGAAACTAACTGAGAGGTGGCTAGGTCTGGTCTGGTCTGGTCTGGTCTGGTCTGGTCTGGTTCGGTTTGATGACATCATGGTCTGGTCCGGTCCGGTCCAGTCCAGTCCAGTCTGGCCCTTTTGCCCATCTCTACTAGGGTCTTCATGGAAACGTCTCTACCCCTGACCCCGCTCCAAATGGGATATACTGGGTATGTTTTGTTTCGCTTGGTTTACTTTACGTCTGTTTTACCATCTTGATGTACATTGACGATGCAGGAAATCAAGTTAAAGTTTTAGTTCGCGGGATCGTGTTAAAAGGTTCAAGCCATGAAGCATTTGGTACAATACGTCAACGGCATACTAGATCGATTGTCGTTAAACTGTACAGAAGTTAAATGCTCTCGGGGGGTTATGGTAACGACAAATACAACTTCAAAATGCGAATCGGAGGTTCGGTCCCCCTTCCCATCACTAATACTATAATGTTGAAGGTTTCCTAATTCAGTTTTCGTTAGAAATGCACAGTTGGTATCGAGGTTTATCCGTGGATGGAATCTGTTAAATATTTTTTCGTCGTTTTTATGTAGTTTTTGCAGTATATTTGATGGTAACGCAGGAATGTATGAAACCGATCCCGTTCGGGACCCATGTTTTTTTTATATTTTCTAGTTTCTTTGTAAATGATCTTGGATTGTGTTGTTATTTGGTTAGCGGATTTTGTTAGGAAATAGGAAGGCTTGGTTTGGGATCGGAACCGGTCAGAAGCTTGGTAGGATCGGTTAACGAGTTATTTTGAGGACCGGTTGTGAAAAACCGGTCAAATTTATACGTTTCCTTAAATAATTATTCGCAACCTGGTTTTCAGGATTTGGATTTTGTGAAAGTATTTGGAATTCTGGTTATTTAGGATTTGAAGGAGATTTAAATTCCATTTATAGATAATTTATAAAAATAAATTATAAATAATTATAATTATTAATTAATCATTATAAAACAAATGTAAACATTTTTTATGAAATTCCATAAAATACTGTTTCCGTGTAATTTCCAAATTTAGTTTTTGTGGGATCTCATTTAAATCAAATACGAGATTGAAATGAGATCCAATTCTAAATCTTGTCAAATCGGGTAAACCAAATGGTTCCGAAGGTTTTTTTTTTGTTGAAGCTGTATTTGCAGGAAAGTACATATATACACAAAAACAACTGTTTCAATTTTCGTTTCTTAAGATCAGGTCTACTCTACGGATCTTGCATTTCAGATGAAATTTACCAGACTTGTTAGGTTTGATAATTGTGTGATAGAGTTGTACAAATTATTGCTCACTTTGTTTGGTTTAACCTTTGGCAAACATCGTCTCTTTTTCCCTTAGATTGTTTGTTTTGAACCAATCGATTTTCTAAATGACACCATTTTATTGCAAATTCATCACAAAGGTCAAATGAGGTCAAGAACTCATGGAGATATAATAGAGAAGACCTTATTTTAACTGAATATGCTTACCTCAGAATCTCTATTTTGAAGAACTAGTTGTGTACTCGTTCAATGCGGCGAAATATAAGTATCAAAGTCAAAATGGAGAGAGTAATATGCAAGTCTAAAGACTTCTCCTACTCGGAATTCTCCGACCAATTTGAGGATTTTAATAAATGTCCAAGTATCGGAAACATGATACGAAGAATAGAATTCTGTAACTGAAGTTGATGCCATGAAAGCATTGCAACAACGAATGATGTTGACGAAGTTATGATTGTTTTCTTAGAGTAAGATGTTATTTGTTTTCTTAAAAGATGCAAAGTCTAAAATCTTATTTCACTTATTAAAAAAGATGGTATCGATATACAAAAACAGTATAAAAAACTCTTGTTTTTATAAAGTGAGGAATGTATGTAAATATGTAATTGTCTATTTTTGCTCCGAAAAATCGAACAATAACAGATGGAAGTCATCAAGTGGGATTTATTTTTAGTATCGTGTGCTGATAAGGATTCAATTTTAGCAGAAAACATAGATCCAAGTACATTAAAAAAGAACATCGACAACTTGAGCCATCTTTTACCAACTATTCAATTTCATTAGGAGCTGTGGTGCATAATCATACCAAAGCTGTGTCCTTTCTAAAATTGGGCTTTTAGGGGGTGTTTGGTTCACATAATAGAATTTGATGGAATTGGAATCCGTCAAAAGAATTTGACTTTAAGGGGAATTAGAATGAAATTTGATGGAATTTGACCACGTGTTTGGTTGGTAGGAATTGAAATGAAATCTCTCAAATGAACTGGAACAATCGTAGTGGTGGGATAGTGGTCGGTGGATGGACCTGGAAGTTGGTGGATATGGCGACAACAATAGTGGCATGGTGTTTAGTGGTGGGTTGGGGTAGGGTGGGGTGCGGGTGAATGGTGAAGGCGACAATAATGGTGTAGGGGCGGGGCGGTGGGGATGGGTGACAGGGTGGTAGTTGCGATGACGACAGTGGTGGGATGGTGGTCGAGTGCCTGGGACCTGAGAGCAGGTGGGTATGACGACGACAATGTGGCATGGTGGTTAGTGGTGGGGGTCAATGGCAATTATGACGACGACAATAATGGTGTGGTGGTGGGGGTTAGGTTAGGGGCGTGACAGTAATGGTAATAGCATGATCGTAGTAGGGATATGCAGTAATGGTAGTATTGGTTTGATCTTGGGTTTTAGAGGTTAAATATAACTGTTGGTATCGGGTTCAAATCAAAGAAGGAATAAAAATCCTTTGTGGTCATAGATGTTCAAATACGGTGACTTCGGACTACACGTAAAACATGTGGTCGTCTTAGAATTAGTCGGCTCGCATAGCAGGTTAAATATCCAGGTTAATTAAAAAATGACGAATCAAATCTGAGTTTTTAAGGATAATATATCTAATACTTTAAAAAATGGTTAAACTTTATCAAGTAAATGTATATGAAATAAAAAATTAAATATTTTTAAACTAATTAAGAAAAGAAGATTATACTCCAACCATATAAGATGAATATCAAAAAAATCACACACAATTTTAAAAAATGTAATAATTATATAGGATTGTGTTCACGTGAGACCAATGGTTTTTTGTGAGTCCTGTAAGACTAATTTATGTTCATTGATCAATTTTATAAACTAATGATCTAATGGTTTAAAGTTGTACGGTGACAATTTTGTGATTATTGAAAAGTCTTGTGGCAATTTTATGATTATGACTATTCAGCTTGTAGATCTAATCCAAGGGTTGAGAATTGGTCTTACAGGTCTCACGAAAAATCTTTGGTCTCACATGATCTGAAGTCTAATTATATATTTCAGTTAAGTTTTGGAACTTTTCTATACAAAATAAGCTGATAAATATTTATTTTTAAATAAAAATATAGACTGTTATTTTAATTAATATCTATATTATATTAAAGTATTTAGAAGGCTTATTATTAAAGGAATTAAACAATAATCATCAAATAAAAAATAAAAAATCGTTTTATTTTATATATATTATAACAGGTTTTATATTTTATAAATTTAACTTTTTATTCCAAATTAAATTTGGTAATTTTCATTTTCACATCAACCAAACATGTTGTTACAGTTTTGATAACTATGTGAATTGGATTGGACAAATTGCATGAAAAAAATTACGTATTTTAACTTGATTCTTATTTTAGGTGATATACTTTCAAAACTTTCATTTTAGTACTTATAAAGTTTTGAACATCAAAGCACCCAACTGGTTGAAACATTAACCGATTACCATACTCATGTGACGAGTGATGTAATATCCAACTCAGTATTATTTATTATTCAACCCAATTTCATCTCATCTATTTGCCATATTAGTATGATAACCCTCTAATKCTTCAATCGATTACACAGATACTTAAATATTGGGTTAAATGTATGAAATAACCAACCTACTTTCATAAATATTTTTATTATAACATTCTACTTTTGTTTTTCTTTATTACAACAATGTACTTTCAAATTATTTTTTATTAAGACATCACATTTTAAAAAATCTACCAATTATAACAATGAGTAACCTGTTACCTTTTAAACCAATTAATCTATTGCTTTTTTTTGCTTGTGTGGCTTTAATGAGGTGATGTGGATGACACATCATTTTGATGATTTAATTAAAATAAAAATCCATTTCAAATTATTATTAGTGATTTTCATTTTTCATTACTATGATTTAAAAGAACATTTAATTTTTTTTTTTTGACTTTTTCTTATTAAGTTGCATGCAAATTAAATATTTTAGAATAAAATATTTCTTAAATAAATATGCTACATTATTTTTGAGATACATTTTGTTTGTAAAAAAAGTAACACTTCTTATTTTATGTTATACAAAAAAATACATATATTTTAAAGCTCTATCTAAAATGTTAACGAAATAAATTGTGTTCTATTATTTTTTAATATTGTTATCTTAATAAATAATTCAAAAAAAATTTAATTAATTTAATATATTTATACGTCAAGTAAATTTTTTTGAACAAATATAATATATTTTTTAAAAAGATAATTTTTTTTGGTAAAAAAAAGAATAATTCTTATTTTCTTTTTTTCAAAAAACACACATTTTTAAAAAAATATTAGCGAGATAAGTTGTCTTCTACTATTTTTATTAATATTGGTATATTAATGAATAATTTCAAATTTTTTAATTCATTTAATATATTTATTAAATAACATGTAAAATATATAAATATTAAAATTAAAAGTACATTGTTTAATAAGGACTAGTAGATGCTATAATAAAATAATTTTGAAAGTACAATATTATAATAAGAAAGTTACATTAATATAGTACATGTGGAGAGTCTACATGGACAATGACGTGACACGAAAATATAGTATAATGAGTAAATTTAAATCAATAGGTTACCTAATACTATAATAAGTAAATTTTTCAAAATATAATGTTCTAATAAAAAATAGTTTGAAAATACATCATTGTAATAAAAAAAAAAAAAATACAATACTATAATAAAAAATATATAAAAATAAATTATTATTTTATGCATTTTATACTTTAAATATTTAAAACTTTATCTAAAAACTAAAATAAGAATCGCGTTTACTTGTTTTTAGTGCAATATGTAGAAATAATGTGAAAAGTGGTTTTAAGTGGCAACGGTAAAAAGAGCCCTAAAATCTTCTTCATCAGCTGACTGAACACCACGAAGAATATTTTTGGGGGAATCAACAAATCCTTCCTCAAATGCAAGGAGGATCAACTGGCGTCGGTTATGGTCTCAAATATCAGGTGAATCAATCAATCAATCAATCAATCAATCAATCAAACAACCCATAATTTCACACACCCAAAACCCCATCAAATTCTCCTTCAATCGATCTGCGTTTCGCCAGAATTTTCCTCGAAATTCTCGTTCAATACATCTGCATTTACTGTATCTGTGATTTTTGTTATAGGCAAGATGTATTACGGATGTCAAAGCCGATACGGATCACACCAGCTTCCTCACCGGTACTCTCAGTCTCAAAGAAGAAAATGAGGTTTTGATTTGTTTATTCGATCTGGGATTTGCATTCATATGTTTATTAGAGTTTTGATGTGTTTGAACTATATTTAATCTCAATTTGTTTCAGGTGCATCTGATTAGGCTTTCATCAGATGGTACGGAACTTGTTTGCGAGGGATTGTTTTCGCACCCGAATGAGATATGGGACCTTGCTTCTTGCCCTTTTGATCAACGCATTTTCTCTACCGTCTTCTCTTCTGGTAAGTGGTTGATTTCTTGTGGCATTTTCTTAACGTGTGCATGCTTAATTGTTATTGCGTTGCCAACGTTTTCCCGATTTCATTGTAATAAGAAATGAAAGAGCTAGTTGGAGTAGGCTACGAGTGAGATCTAGATGCAATTTTTAAAGAATTCATCTGTGTTTCTACCTTGGTAAGGCTCTCCCAAGAGAAGAGGCTCTAATAGGATTTTGTGATCAAAGTTATTGAAAATTGCTTGCATATATGATCATAATTTTGGGTTAAAAATTATTAAGGGACCGGATATCCATTAGGAATTGCAAATTTGAAGTTTGCGGTGTTATTCAAAACGTGACTGTGATTATACTTCCTTTGGTAATATGAAAAACTGGCCCATTTGATCGGAAATATCAAATCAAGACTATTTAGTTATTTGCTTCTTCTTTTTTGAGGCAGGAGAGTGGGCATGGATGTGTTAAAAAACGGAGTGTTGGATTCTCATTTTACGTTTGACAAACTTCTTTTTGGATGCATATAATATTTATATGTGGCAAATGCTCACTCACACTCCTCATTTTTGGTAGTTTGAACCTTTGACCTCCTGGGAGGCTGGGCTCTTTAACCTGGATACTGTTGGGCCAATGACCCTTTGTGTTACTTTTGATAAACTTGCAGCTCGTTTACATAAAAGATATGAGAAAAGTCGGTTTCAACATTGAAGGCAGTGTCCATTTGTAGACGAACCTGAGAAAGGAAACGAACATACCTGAATTTGGAATAGATACGTCATTCCTATTGTAGATACTATATCATTATCCCCATCACTGTCACACAATCACCACTTAATTCTTGCTTAGCGGTACCATATTTCTTGCTGCTAGCCTGCTATGTGTATTCCTTTAAGGATTGGGAGTATAAAATTGCTTCATAGTGTTGCTTAAAACTCACATTCAAAAGTTCTTTTTTTTTTCATTATAGTCTATTTGAGAAGTTTATTGGTGTATAAGGTTTGCTGTTAATTTCTGCTGTTGAAGGTGAATCATATGAAGCAGCTGTGTGGCAAATCCCAGAATTGTATGGCCAGTCAAATTCTCCACAGTTGGAATGTATTGCTTCCCTTGATGCACACAATTCAAAAATTAAGTGGTGAGTTATATGTTTCCAAAGGCTCATTGATATATTTCTTCTCTTTGTATCATTATATGTAGTGATGGCTTATTTATGATCATACTTGTGTTAGATGGTCTTAGGACTTCAAACTTAATTTTTGTTTAGGTTTTACTTTTAAGTTCTTGTGATCACTTTGAGGATGCTCCTTTTGGTTGGCTTTTGAGAATACCCATGATTTTAGATGATCTACGTACATTAGATAACTATTACATATGGATATTAGAGAGTTGGCGTAGATACAGCTGGTTCGATCATATAAGCAACTCCAGGACCTCTCTGCAACCTTCATTTCTTTAGCATCTTGTTTAAAAACTGGCATATGTAGTTGCACCATTTAAAATCAATCAAAGATGCATGAGACCTCATTTTTGAGAATTTATCAACTCTATGGAAAACTTTTGAGATTTTTTTTAATCTTACCACGTTGCTTCTACATCATAATTTTCTAGTGAATCTGTGTACATACTATGCTAACTTGTACGCTGCTAAGCTCAAGCTTCATTCCAACTCAAACCTTCTCAAAGGAGCGCTTCACAAGTACTAGAAGTTGGCTAGATGTCTATAAATTAAACCTTAAGATTTATTTTCAACTTTCAGTCACATGAAGCATAATTTTGATTCTAATAGTAATTACTCTGGAGGTTTCACTTCATACTTTCAATTAGCTAAACCACGAACACTGGTTATGGATCATGCATTGATAGATTTTAACATTGTAATGTTCAACAATCTGAAAATGTATTTCAGTTTTTGACATTGCAACTCTCAACAATCTGAACATGTATTTCTATCTATGTGATTTAATCTATTTTCCCTGGAACTTGTATTTAACCAAAGAAAAATATGGCAGTGTGCTTTGGTGGCCATCTGGAAGACATGATAAGTTGATCAGTATTGATGAGCAGAATATCTTTCTCTGGAGCTTAGATTCTTCAAAGAAGAGCGCACAGGTATAATAGAGTAAGAATCTCTGGATGTGTCATGCTTGGATCCATATGATCATATTAAACTTAGAAAATCTATTGCAACAACAAACTTAACACTGTATGTTAACCTTTTTCTTGTAAATGACATACCATCTACATGTTTAGTTTTTCATGGTTCCAAAGTATCTTATTTATTCACCATAAGGGACATAAGAGAATGGGGAAATGTGGAAGGTGTAGGTGGGTGAGTGGGTTGAGTTATAGAGGACTAGTAAATCTGTACCTACACAAAAGTGAAAATCAGGAGTCTTTTAGAGTCAACTTTTAAGACTAATACTTCTAGAATAAAAATTTGAACATGTGGGTCATTGAAACTAGGGTAACTTCTTTATGATAGATGCCTAGACTACATAGGATGCAACATCCTTTGTCTTATATAAGTGGTCTAGAGAGTGTTTGGGATGTTATGTAAGTGGTCTAGAGAGTGTTTGGGATGTTATGTAAGTGGTCAAACTTGCTTTTGAGCACTCTCAGAAATCACATAGGCATTCAACAAATCCAAAATAAGCTGCTTTTCAAAGATATGTTAACTTATGAGAAGGTTTGACCAAAAATATTACTATGATAATTCAATAAAGAGTGTACAGCTATCTAAATATGTAATTTTGCTTTCCACACATTGGTAGCTCTATCATTTTGGCTAATAATTAGTGTAAAGATCGTATTTTATTTTATAATTGCATTCAACTTTTAAATATTGTCGTTTTTTTACATGTTTGAAACATGGTTATTAATTTTCTTTCATATATATACAAGTATTTTTAAGCATAACTTAATTAGATATTAAAATTAATTTATTCTTCTAACTGTGACCAAGATATTTAAAAATATGATCAGCACCATATTGGCAATTATCAACGTTAAAATTTCCGTTATCTAGTAAAACATTTCTCTGCATTTTGTACCGTTTTCAGCACAAATTCCAGATATGCTTTTTCTAAATAAATAAAAAGATGCTTGAAGGCATGTGCTTTTCTTAGAAGCATCACATGAAGTATGTTCCAACTTGTGATAATATCTTACTCCATGCCCTTCAAGAAGTGCAACAAATGTTTCTTTTCCCATATTAAGACTAGTGTTTGAGTAGTTCAAAATACTTCTAAATGCCTTGGTTTAAAAATTGTTACCATGCTTAGTGATTATATGGATTTGGAAATTAGACAATAGGTAAAAGGGGGAAGTTCTCGCATCCTGTATAAAAGTTGGAATTTCAAGTTAAACTGTGTATTACAAGGATTTGCTACAAGGCAAAACAAAATAGGCAAATTAAAGTTAACAGAATTTCCATTATAGCAACATTTTTTGGTGTTGGGCATGCCAATATAGAATTAGTGGCACTTCTTGTGGGACAGAGGGAGTATCCTTTACTTGGTGCACCTGTTTTTAGTGTGTCAGACTCTAAGAATAATTTATCTATAAAAGTTATAGATTCAAGAACACTATTTTTTTGCTCATCATCTCTTGTGCATTTCTCATCAGTGTATACATCACTCCACAGATTTGTATCCGACTGATAGGTATGCTGCCTTGACTTCTATGGCTAATTCTTATAAAGGTTGTGCTGCCATATGTAGGTACAATCTCAGGAGTCAGCTGGGATGCTTCATCATCTGTCAGGTGGATCATGGGATCCCCATGATTTGAATGTTGTTGCATCAACTTCTGAATCATCTATCCAGTTCTGGGACCTAAGGACAATGAAGTATGTCCCAATTGATCAAGATCTCTTTTCCCTTTTAATTACAAGCTATTTTGGACTATTATCAATCATCTACATGAAGGAAGAATTGAGTTTATCGTTGCCACAAGAACATGGTCATGGAAATTGGCTTGCCTTTTCCCTTTTGCAAATTTTGCAATTAAACCCATCCAAGTCAATTTGTTGTGTAGTTCAATACATGGACTCCATTCTCAGCTTTGTTTTTGTGTTCTTTATCACATTTAAGTTGGAGTTACGTTATCTTGTTCTCTTTCTGCATGTCCTTGTTTCATCATTTAGAGCCAAGCTGAAAAGAAGTTTTTCAACCTTTTAGCCCTTTATGTTCACCAGGTAGATCCAATTGCTAGGACATTTTCTCTTCCGTCTTCTCTATTTTTCCAGGTGTTTGCTGGGGTTAGCATCAGGTGGGCTGGGGTTGGGGGCTTAGGTCTAACCCTTTTTTGCTGGAAATTCAGAATATTAAAATATAATATTATCTTTATGATGGGAATGAAGGGCTATATTAGTATACCAAACTATTTAAACCTGAGCCTCCTATGAAGAATGGGCATTGTTTTTCAGTTTCAAATATAAGCAGGGAGCATAGCCTAACTGATGTCTCCCTTGTGGATTTCCTGCTCAGTTCTTCTATTTGCTTATAACATGTAGTCTGTGTATATAACTGTTGGTGCATATTCCTTAGTTGACTGGTCACATATTTACTAATATCAAGGTATTTAAAATTTTTATACTTAATAAACTTGTCGTTTGGTGAATCTGATGGAACTGGAATCTTAAATTCTTTTGACCAAATTCCATTCCCTCCTTTGGTTCATTCTATTTTGAAGAAGGAATCTTCAAAATCCACCAAATTTCACAAATAAGGGATTTCAACATTCCTTCACAATAAGTTGGGATTTTGATGGAATGGAATGTTATATTTTCGTAATCCAAATATACCCTTTAACCCAAATATAATCTAATTAATTAATTTAGTTTAATTTAATACTTTTATTTTTTATTTAAATAAATTTAATACTTTAACTTAATTTTATTTTTTCGATATATTTTTATTTTAGTTTTCGAAATATACTTTTTGTTCAGCTGGCAACATATTTAATTTAATACTTTAGTTTTTTTATTTTATTTTTTCATAATATATTATAACGAAATTTGTCTTAATATTTATTCAATATAATAGTTAACTTTCTTTCATTAATATAAATAAACGCTGAATTTTGTCTATTATGTATTTATTTTACATGATAAAGAATTAGCTATTTTGAAACAGTTTTAATATGAATTTAGTAACGTCGTTTGGTTTATGGTTATATCTGGGTTGTGTATTTTATATTGTTTTACACATTAAATGATTATTTTATTAAAGTATTTTTAGTTCTAAAAGAATTTAAAAGTTTCAAAAAGGGAATTTTGGTCATTTACTAATATTTCATTCCAATTCCAAAGCTATATTCTATGAAGAGTGTGAACCAAATAGATAGATTCTAATTCTTTAATAGATTCCATTCCAATGTCTGCCAACCGAACAGGTGGTCAAACCTGACAACATTCCATTTCAATTCCTTCAAAGTCAAATTCTGTTGACAAATTTCATTCCATTCAAAAACATTCTGTGAACCAAACGCTACCTTATTTTTTTTCCTGGGCGAGAGGGGGAAGCCAAAGAGATGCTTCTGGCCACATGTAAATTGTGTCACTTTTCTATCGGTTTACTTGATGTCTATTTATTATCCATCCATTCTCTCAGAGAAATTACACGAGGTTACATGCTTAGTACATTTAGTGTGGGGTGCTTGGGCTCATGCATGTTTCTAAAAACTAGTGACCACATACAAGCATTCAACGACGAACACTATTTGTGTGTCTCTGCCATTTATATATAGCTCATAGATCTCATTTTGCTTGTAGAGAACTTCTGGAAGTATTGATAACATACTTGTTTATTGCTTTACAGGAAAACAAATTCAATCGAACATTCCCATGTTCGTAATATAGACTATGATCGCAAGAAGAAGCATATGCTTGTAAGTCTGTTGATTCAAGTTCAGTGATCCATTACTAATGTTTCTGTACTAACTAAATAGTAACTGCAATTCTGTGTCATAATATTAAAATTATGTTTATATGTTCTTTAAGACACACTAGGCCATATTTCTCTATGCACAGTGACCAACTATAGTGAAGAATTTAGTTGCTCATACTGGTCAAACATCTGGAAGATAAAAAGCTTCACCACCCATAATCATGCTGAAGGGATCTATGTATCACTCAAAAAAGCTATGTGGTTTGACTTTTTGCTCTATTCCATGAATTTTTTCCTCAAGTCGTATATAAACTATGCATAGATTTAATCCGTATAAGATCTTTTTTGGGATTGAGTTCACCATTTTAACTTCTCTCCTTCTTAGGACCTTCTATCTCCTTCTCTACTCCACATGCAATGGTAGTGTTCTTTTTGTGATTTTGTGAGCTTTTATGATGGATTAATATATATAGTTGGAAGACGAAGGATCGTGCGAGAATAGGAGTTATGGTGAGAACAATGAGAATCTGGACCTTGATCACTTTTAATCTCACCCCCACCCCATGAATTGTGCTTATCACGGGAATTGATCCGGTGCATTTCGGTGCACCGCAATAGTGTTGATCTTCAATTAGGATTGATCCAAGGGTGAGGATCCCTTCTTACCCTTCTCACCATAACCCAACCCATAGTTGGAATGGGAGGATATTGATGATTGGAAGAGAGGAAGGGTAAGTAGGCAATGGAGAGAATCGAAGGTAGCAGTTCTGGCATGGATTTTGGTGGCTATTAAGAAACAATGTATCAATATGAAAGTGGTTATCATCTCATCGGTTTTATGTTGGAGACACTGCTTTTATTATCTAGGTGCAACTCTGCATGTTGTTTTACAATGTGGGACTGTTGCTGATATTTGCATGTACCTATAATAACAGACATTTATTTTGTTACTGTATGGCACCCGGAGACGGGTCTCTTATATCATTATGAATGGTGTTCTAGTTCGTGATGGAATAGTGAAGCATAGAAGGTTGCTTTTTAAGATGAATTATCTTTAAAGATATTTTGTTGTTTTAATAATCATATCTTGTACCAAACAATACAGATAACAGCTGCAGATGAATCTGGTATACACATATGGGATCTTAGAATGATGAAGTCCCCTGTTGCAGAGCTACCTGGACATTCCCACTGGTAATAATGCATGGTGTTGTGTAATTTTTTCTCAAAAAATAAAAAAAATAACAGGAGTAAATGATCATTACTTCCTCCGTGTCCCAAAATAAGTGTTCACATTTCTATTCAAGTTTGTCCCAAAAGAAATGTCCATATTTCTATTTAGGTTTGTCCTAAAATAAGTGTCAACTTTGAAAACTAAATATTAATTACAATTTACTAAATTTTCAACTCTTCCCTTAATTATGACTCATAAATACTTAAAGAGTTGATGAGATGGAGAGAGAGAAGGTTTGCGTCTATCATTAAAGGTAAAATTGTCATTGAGTCAATTAAAAAGTGTAATAATCACACATTTATTAAACTGTGTTTTTTTTTAATTGTGGGCATATATTTTGGGATGGAGGGAGTAATTCATCAAGCTCTAACAACGGTGTTATTTTCCTTGATGGTGATCTCACTACCTACTGCTTCATTTGATTGTATCATATTGTTTATTTTTGCAGGACTTGGGCTGTTAGAAGTAATCCCGAGTTTGAAGGGATCATTCTTGTACTCTCTCTCTCTCTCTATGTATATATACATATATATTTATATTTATGCATGTATGTATATCTAGACACGCATACACATCCACATGCACATGTATATACCTAGTATGTACATGTACATACGTACATATACACACATATAGATGTTCATATAGATAGATGTGTGTGTGTGTATGTTTTCATATGTATATATACGCACACACAACCTATATCTTTCCCCCACAGCACAAAGGCCTAGATTTACTTTTTTAATTATGTTTTATCGGGTTATTTCTTACTGACGGTGTACATTTTCAGAGTTCAGGTACAGATTCGGCTGTTAATTTGTGGTTTGCCTGTCCTAGCAACGATGAATTAACTTCCGAGAGGTCTCTTTTTTTATTTTTCTTATCTTATGTTTTCCTGGGACGAATACAGTTCAAACTTACGTGTGTCAAGCCCATAACAGTTTTTTGATATTTACAGCTTGTCTAACTCTACTACTACTAGATGGACAGAGTCGTTGCTCCATTCATACACTGACTATGAAGACAGTGTTTATGGTAATTCGGTCTCGTGTCTGTTTATCATTTTTGCTTGATGTTTTGGAGCTTTAACTTTGTAGCTTCCCTTGAAAATGCAGGCCTGTCGTGGAGTTCTAGAGAGCCTTGGATATTTGCATCATTATCTTATGATGGGAGGGTAAGATATTTTACGTTCTGTTTTGGAAGTTACAACTTCAGTATTTGTTATATTCTGCAAATTAAAACATATGGATTACTTGCTGCTAAAAAAGAAAAAAAGGTGCTCCCTCTGTCCCACGGAAAACTACTCTTTTATCCCCAAAAAAGTTGTCGTAGAAAAAAATGCAATGTTTACTCTTTCGGAAAGAAACCTTTAGAAATTTACCAGTCTGCCCGTTAGCAATCATGACAAAATATTATTGATACTGATTAGGGTCTACAAGTTGTCATGTCTAATTTTGTCATATTAATGGGTATTTTGGAATTTCACTGTTGTTAAACAATGGGGTCAATTCAAACGTTGCATTTTTATACGGTTTTAGGGAATTATTTGATGATATGTCTGAGGTGTAAAATAATCTTTCAGTAATGACAACTAAAGAAATCTGGTGAACTCAAATCAATAACATCGTTTTTTCTTAACGATGATGATGTAACTTAACAAGTTCCTAAAATTGGAGATGATTCAATTTCATAGGACAAAGGGTGCCAACCATTTCTATAAGAATTGATGTATCCTGAAACTCATGCACCTAAAGGACTGGAAGCCCCAAATGTAGCATTTCCTAGCTAGATTTGCCACTATTAGCATAATATCTTTGTCCTCACAGGAAAAGAAACAAATAAAGAGAAAAGGGAAAAATGATAACTGCAGAAGAGCCTTCATCACTCCCCCCCTTTCACACATTTGAAAAAAAGGGAATCTGGTTACATTTTGTGGGTTCCATTTATACAGCAATAAGAAATAGAGATGCAAACCTTGAGGGCTGCTCAACTGGCAAATAAAGGCTAGGCCTTATGACCATTGCAGATTTTCTTGGCTGTGAGGCCTCATGGGATTAGTTGAGGTGTGTGAAAGCTAGTCCGGGCACCTACGGTTACCAAAAAAGAAAAGAAATAGTGATGTCATCGTGGGTCTTGATGACTTGATGTAAGAAGAAATGATGATGTAACTCAGAAAATGAAGGAAAACCACATAAACAAATGAAAACTTGTAAAGTGGTAGAAACTAGGATGGTACATAAATTTTTGTCTATTACAAGCCTGTGGGTCTTTACGGAAACAGCTTCTCTACTCTTCGGGGTAGATTTAAGGTCTGTGTCTATCGTATCATCCCCAGACCCATCTCCATGTGGGACATGGATTCACTGGGTTCATTTGGTTTATATTTTGGTTATGCGTTTGATATTATTAGAAGCCAATGGGTATTTACTGGAACAACCTCTCCACTCCTTGAGTAGTAGAAGTCAGGTCTGCATACATCATACCCTACCGGCCTCCCCAAACCCTACTCCGTGTGACACAGGGATTCACTGGATTCGTTTGGTTTGATTTGGTTATGTGTCTTGATATTATGTTCTTGATGAATGACAGGTAGTTGTGGATTCGATAAAGCCTCATCTCCCCAGAAATTAAAGACTTCCTTCATATGTTGATGCAGATTCTCCATCCATATATCGTCCTTTTGTGACACTTAGAATCTCCTGATTACGTACTCCGAGTTTTCTTTATAATATCTTATTTTTACCCTACTACTTCTAAGTGAGATATACTGGTTTACTTTGGTTTTTGGTTATTCTTACCACACCACAGTCGTAGCCATCTTGGTCATATCTGGTATCGCATTTCACCTCTCGTTTCTTGTCGCACATGCTTCCAACCGTGTTTTGAATTGGTGTAGCATCTGGGCTTTTGGTCGGTTTCACTTGGGATGTTCGTTTGTATTTAGCTATACGGCTTTCGGATTGTACCGTAATTGTTTATGGATTTTTGTATTTTTGTTTTAGTTTTTGGTGATGTTATGGGTTTGAATCCATTCTTTTGACAATATTGACAATAAGTTGTTCACCCTTTTTGATGTTTGTGTGTCCCTTCACTTTGTTCCCCCTTTTTTGCTCTATGCTTACTTCATTAGGAAATTACCAAACTAAAGAAAATCATTAAGGTGTGTTTGGTATCAGATACAGGACCTGATCGACCAGTTTTTTAGTGTTTCGTAAGACATGACTGAACATGATATGACTAACAATGACCAATTTACTCCTAATGGGTTGTTTATATCTTTTTTATATTTTGATTAGTTTATGTAATTTATCAAGGGAAAATTGCACCAAAATGGAATCAATTTTCATCTGATTCCTATTTTGGGAAACCAACTTTCAAAATCGTCATTTAGGGGTCTCCATCAAACTTTTTGTTTATTTAAGGGTCTGGTTGACCTGTTAACCTGTTAATGTTGATATCATCCAAATTTTATGCCAACTAAGATATTCCATGTCATATTAATTTTTTATTTTAAAACTAATATTTCACGTCATATTTAAAATTGCAAAATAATTATAGAAAAATAACTAAAATTCGTTTTTTTCAAAAATTAATGCAATAAAATCTATTTTTCATTTCAAATCTCGTTTTTTTTTTTAATTTAGATATCAAATTGAAGATTTTTTCAAAAAAAAAAAAATCCAAATTACCACAATAAAAGTTGTTTTTTACTAATGCAATAAAAAAATCAATTTAATAAAAAAAATTAATTGATGCAATACAGATTGAATATTAAATATCACATTCAAGATTTTTATATCCAACCAATCCGTATCAATATTAAAGTTTAAATTAAATTTAACAAATCAAATCAAAAGTTTGATATAGACCCTTAAACTACCTGTTACCTGTTCAACATGTCAACCAGACCCTTAAATGACGATTTTGAAAGTTGGTTCTCTAAAATAGGGATTATGTAAAAGTTGGTTCCATTTTGGTACAATTTTTCATATTTACCAGATAAAAACATCACTTATTGTTATACTTCTTATCAAGTTATTTTTTTTGTCTTTATTATTTTCATCTGATAAAATAAAATGACTTAATAAACACTTATCCAATAACTATCCGTAAATGGCCATTTAATTAAAAATTAGAAATATGAAATATGTTATTGCAAAATAGTGGAGCAATAGACTTTAACACGTGTCAACGAAGAAAGCGATACAACTCAACCGTATAATCTCTGCCACGTGTCAACGAAATAGTGGAGCAGTAGACATTAAACATCAACGTTTCAACCTCCCCAGCGTCACAACCAACAGAAACGAATCAAAACGATATCAAAAACCCCAACTTTCTCTCTCACATACAAACACACAAAACACACACTACCATCCTTCGCAAAGCTTTGAAAACCTCTGTTTTTCTCTGTAAAACTCCAAATTTCTCACTCGGATTGCCAATGGAGTGTTAGCAAATCACTTCACAAATCATACCGCAAAGGTGGTTTTCCACATTTGGTGTATTTATAGTTGCGAAGTTTCTCGAAAGAATGAGACCGGACCAGTGTTTTAGTTTAATCTTTTGTAGCTAAAAACCTCAACTTACTTATGGAATTTGCGTGATTTATGCTTGGTTTTTCAACAATGACATTGAATTCTGGGGCGCCGCCGCCATTTAGGTTGCGGGAAGTGGATTTTCGTCCGCCATTGCTACTCCAGAGGAAGATATTGATTCAACGAGGTGATTGTATGTTTATCTGTTGCTGTTATGATAAGGTTGTGCCGATTCGGAGAGGAGTTGTTGGGGCGGGACGCAAGGGTGTGGACAAAATTGAAGAATGGCCGACTGATTTGAGGAAGAACACTCATAAAGTTCGAATGCAAGCTACACCTACATGGTCTTTTGCATCATCTCAGTATGTTTGATTCTTTTTGTTAATATCTGTGTATAATTGTTATGTGATGATGGGGTTATCGGCACCATTGTACTGATCAATGCTCAAATATAATGGACAAAAAATTATTCAGTTTGCTTTTCCCTCTTTCTCTGCCGCTTTCTTAGGGACATCTTAACTAAAATTAGGTTTTTTTAAAGAAATTAAAGCAACCTTTTAGCTAGAGAAAGTTGACAATTTGGGGTGTTTGGGATGTCAAATAGTTCAATTTATGGGATTGACAATTGGATATGTAGCATTACTCCCTAGGTTTTTGTAGCAAGTGCCTACTTTCTATATATAGACAGCTGACGTAGTACATACTAACTTCAATGTTAATATGAACTTATATGCATTTTTGACACCCTTCTCTTTTCTAAATCTATGGTGCCTCTTATATGATTTAAGGTGGTTAATAAATAGCAATTAAACGAATCAGATCAAAACTTAAAGTTAAAAAGTCAAATGTTTGATGCTAAAAGCAAGCAAATTATGGGACAGGTGGACTAAAACCTGTGCAAATGCTATTATTAATTTATAAAATGTGCAAAAATTGGTTATTTTTAGTGGAGTCATAATGACTATCAGGGTCAAGAAGGGAGCGAGTCTGTTTTCTTATATGATGTTGGATTCTACATACACAATGTTCCTTTCAGGAACATTTCGTGGCTTACCATTTGTCACTTCATTTGTTGTGTTATACTGGTGCTTTGAGGGGTTTCACCTGGGCAAAATAACCCAATCTGTCATTTAATTGAAATCCCATATGTGGTTTTATGTTATCTGAAACATACATCTCCACAAGTTGCAACATAGTGCTGGCCTCCTACCCCACTAGTTTGAGTTAAAAGGCCCATTGGCGTAAAATATCACAACATTTTTCTCAAAATGCCATGTTATTAATATTATGAATCACATGAGAAGGCCAATGTGAATTGTTTTCTTTCTTGTAGCCTTATTAAGAACATTAGCTAAAAAGACATTTTTTTTCACCACAAATTGCAGTTCATGCAGTTCTTTGAGGGTCTGCATTGTGACCATGGCTTCATAAGTTGAAAGCTGAAGTGTGCCAATGGAATTACAATGGTACACATCGCATACCCTGTCAAGAAATTCTCTTAAAATGTTTTTGCCAATAAATAACGACGACCATGATCAAGGGTACCATGAAGCAACACCAAAGGGTGGGAACCAATGGTTTGACATGTTTGCCATCTTCAGAGATTGAACTTTATCATCCAGCTATAAAAAATCCAATTTTATCATCTAGGTAACTTAATAATCATATATGTTTGATTTTTTAAATTCTTTTAGAGTAGTTGACTCTGGATCTTCCAGTGTTATATATGATAAGCTATTTCAAGTTCAAGTAGTGAACTTGTGAAGTAGTATTGTTCCATCGTGATTGTTGTTCTAGAGAGCATATTCTGAGTTCCTTCGCATAACTTTTTTAAGCATAACTATTTTTGAATTCAATGCTCTACGTCTAAATGTAGGAGTAGGACCAAAATACTTATCAAGGTAATCATGCCACAATGATAAACTTTGTAAGGTTCTTTTCAAAAGAGCAGTTCTTACTCTTCGACAATGATTTCTTTAATATTCAACTGGAATGTTAGTTTCTTGGTAATGTAGTTCGTATAGGCTTGAAGTGATGGATAAAAGTCACAGATTAGTGGTCTAGTTTCCTCTATAGAACTGGTTAGGGAGAGTGAGCACTTAAATTTGAGGTTTTACTTACTTTCTAGATTATGATTGTTGCAGACCTCAGCTGGCTTCAAGACTAGAAAAGTTCTTTCCGCACTGTATCCCCAGAAACGATGGGCCACAGTCTCGTGACACTCCACCAAAAAGAGGTAAGTTGATACTATTTGTAGTGTCTTATTCTTATGAACATGCATGTACAGTGAATTGTTCAAATATTATTGGACAAATTAAAGCTGTATTTTAATGAATGCCACCTTCTAATAACTTCAATTTATTGCTTTCTTAATGCTAGATACGGGTATCGCGAATGAGAAGGACTGGGGCATCAATTTGTTAACTGAACATGTTAATGAATCTGGCATTAATGAGGATGGTAGTACCTGGTATAAAGAAAGTGGAGAGGACCTAGGCGAAAATGGTTACAAATGTAGATGGGCAAGGATGGGTGGTCAAAACAGTGATGGCTCCTCAAAATGGAAAGAAGTGGTATTATTTATTTAAATTCACAGCTTTTATATATTATATGTTACTTCTCTTGATGCTGGTCTGATAACCATTTTAAGGACAATGACTGGTTGACCTCAAGTTTAAAAGTAAATAAACTTTTAAGCACTGCCTATTGATTATAACTCTTCATCTAACATTATATATATAATAGTTACTGTAATAAAATTATGTGCTCCTAATGTTTGATTAAAGGATTCACTTTTTCTTCATTAGGTTTCAGTCTGTGTGTGTGTATATACATAGGGTTAGGTTCAGGGGAAACCGCAAAAAATGAAAAAATGAGGAACACCCAAATAACCATTTATTTGTCCGGTATGCACACGTGCATAGAGACCAGGAAACGTCTTTAATTACTTGGATGAACATGTACATACCGTACATATGAATGGTTATTAGGTTGTTCCTCGGTTTTTCATTCTTTCGGGGTTTCCCCTGAACACCCCCCCCCCTTCTCTCTATATATAAGGTTGGTTTTGGTGAGAAGGTAAGAAGGGATCTCCAACCTTGGATCATTCTTAATTGAAGATCAAGACTAATGTGGTGCACCTAGATGAAAAACCTAATTGAAGATCAATCCTAATTCCCATGACAAGTGCAATTCATGGGGTGGGGTGAGATTAAAAGTGATCAATGGTCTAGATCCCTTTTTAGACTTCTCACCTTAATTTCTATTCTCACACGATCCTTATATATATATATAGAGGGATGTTATTCTACACCCTTTGCCATTCCTACACCCTATACAACCCTCATCTCAACCATTCAATTTTTAATCAATTAATTGTTTCCTAATATAAAGTATTAATCATAATTAATAAACTCTATTCATATTCCATAAATATTCAAATCATAATAAATGAACTCCAATCATTTCTATAAATATCTCAATTAATTGGGTTGCAAAGGTTGTACAAATGCACAAGGTTGTAAAAGAAATATACCCTATATACCCTATATATATATATATATATCCCTACTTTCTGCAGCATTGCAACTTGACAAAATATTGAGTAGCCGTTATAGGACACATATTTGCAAGAATATTAGTTTGACCATCATCTTGAGATGCCTTTTTATGCTTTGGAATAACAAGATCTATTATTTACTTTGGGACATAAATGAGAAATTGTCTACTGAAGTATCTGTATATTGCCACCTTTTCCCTCCAAAGCCAACCCATGTTTTCTAAAAGATTGGTAACTAGATGAGCTTCAAGTATAGGTACAAAAAAAAGTCATATGCTGCAATCTTTAAAATATGCTCATACAAGCATTGATTTGTAAGTTTGTGATATTCCTTGTAATCCATATGGTTTCACCTAAATCTTGGCATAATGTTGGCATCCGTCTTTGGATGTGTATCATGATTGCTTTACTTAATTGTGAAATAGAAGAAATTGTAGATCCATCTCACACACAAACACAAGTGTATATTTTAAATAAACCAAACCAAATGAGCCCAGTATATCCCACCAGGAGGTGGGGTCAGAGGGGTGGGATGTATACAAAGTTATCCTCTCCTTCAAAAGGTGAGCGGTTGTTTCCATGAAGACCCTCAACTTGAAGTTGTCTATTTTAAATGGCTATGTTAAATAGTCATCTTTGATTCACAACCTTAAAATTTGCTACCTAAGCTATGTTCTGGTACTTAAACTTACCACCTAATTCTGACTTAGAATTGTTTCATTTGTGTATATAATTTCTGATGACATTGTTTTCATGACCTTATCAAGTATCATCCCAGGTGGATACATTTAACTGGCTTTATTGATCTCCTTGACAGTGGTGGGAAAAAAGTGACTGGACTGGATACAAAGAGCTAGGTATATTATTTACTAGTTGTTTTCTCTTCTTTCTTGTTGATATCCAAAATTTATTATGGACACTATATTTTTGTCCTATTTCAAGCAAAATAGATGCAGTTACTCAAAAGTAATTGCAACAAAGGCTGAATAGAGTTGATAAAATAAGCACTCTGATGCTTTCTTGCCATGAGAATTATGCATCTTATTGAAGTTGTAGAATTACACTCACAGTTGCTGCACTAAACACTCATGGACAGTTTTGTTCATCTAATTTTATGGAGATTTTTTTTCTAATCTCGTCATGATACTCTGTTGGCCTCTATGACGTAGAGTTTGGTGCTTTCTGAATTTTACAAAATGTGGTTTCGATGATATGGTTGTTTCCTATGTAGTCTCACCTTGCAAAGTACCGAGATATCGCCATGCAAGATTGCAGTTCCCTATAGCAAGCCAATCTACAAGTACGGAAAAATTCATTAAGTGGGAAAAGTAATACTCCTTGATCCTTCCATCCTATAATAAGTGTCCACGTTTCTGTTTAGTTTCTCTCAATATAACCGTCCACTTTCAACCAATTCTATCTCTAATTATGATATGGAGAAATTGATGTAGCGATGAAAATCAAACCTGTTAATTCTGAGAACACCTAGGAATAAGTTCTTCTAAAGTTAGTTGATTCAACGAATACCAAACTTTAGGTTCAAACTCGAACTCACAGTGAGTCAAAAATTTGGATGGATAATGGAAGTTTTTGTATTCAACATCTGACCATCCAGATTAAATCTAAAAACATATAAACAAGAGTCCCAAACATAAACGGGCCGAAAAGGTTATGGGTTAAAACATAAAAGCCCAAACTGAATGAAAAACATAGCAAAAAAACAGAAGTACTCCAAAACATGCTTAAACGACATTTTTTGGACTAAAAACTCCTGTAGGCCCCTTCAAGCTTCGAATTGGTGTATTGTGGGCCTGAAACAGAGACTAGTAGCAAGAGATATGCACGTCAAAGCATGGCATGCCCTGTTTGCCGATCATGGGATTCCAGGAACAATAAGGCCTAATCCTCCACGCCTAGGTCCGCCTCAGAAATTCATAATCCCCAAGGGTAAAATTGTCATCTAATTAATCAAAAAGTGTAATACTAAACTTCTGTGCCCTTTTGTTGTTGTGAACATATATTAAGCCACTACCAAATAATCATGTATAAGTATAACTGATCGAACGAATAAGTTGCGAGTCCCATTAAACCTGACACACCCTTCTTTATCCTGGTACTGATTCAAGCATTGTAGGTATTTTCTAGCCGGTCACTAGTCAGTGCAGTTCTTCATGTGGTTGTTGATATCATGGTTTGCTCTCAAATCTCTTGGGATTTTGAATCCAATGTTTGTGGGATTTCAATTCTAATTAGCATGAAGAACACCTTAGCTCAAATGGAAGTTTCTTGATGCAAATTGTATATAAACAATTTCATTTCATTATCTCCAGTTTTCTACCTGAATCACCCAATGGACTGCCTATGCACATGTTTTCTGGCCTGTTTATAAGCACTTATCTGTTAATATTACTGTGGCAATTTGTAGGTGTTGAGAAATCTGGAAGAAATTCTGAAGGTGATTCGTGGTGGGAAACCTGGCGGGAAGTTCTTCACCAAGATGAATGGAGGTTTTCTTATTGCTTTTGCATTCTAAATGTTAATGTGAGAATATGTGGAACCCCTATATTGATCTCCAAAAGAGGAGGCTAGGTGGAAACAGATAGTCCTAGAGTGTTGGTGAGGAGGCTAGACGAGTATAAATTGCCCCAAAGAAGTAGACCTTGGCTTCGATACCATGTGGGAGTAAGTGGAACCCCTAGATTAATCTCCAATAGAGCCCTTGAGGACAGAAGGGAGGTTCCAACGTATATAGATGTGAAATGATCCAAGTCTAGCCGATGTGGGATTTTAATAGTTAAATATTTGACTATTTCTCATCTTAATAGTGATTGGGTTCTTTCTGAACTGCAGTAATATAGCTAGGATAGAGAGAAGTGCACAAAAGCAAGCAAAATCAGGCACAGAAAATGCTGGATGGTATGAGAATTGGTATGGACACTTTCTTCTTGTATGAATGAACCTTCATATAACCAACAAAATAGCATCTTTTTATGTTGATAACTTATGTTTAATGTAGGTGGGAGAAATATGATGCAAAAGGGTGGACCGAGAAAGGAGCACATAAGTATGGTAGACTAAACGAGCAGTCGTGGTGGGAAAAATGGGGCGAGGATTATGATGGAAGAGGATCTGTTTTAAAATGGTACGTCTTCGGCATTAACAACTGAATTGTGCTTTGTTGGAAGTGGTTTTGATCATGATGCTCATGATATGTCCCATGGCTTTATCTAACGGGTATTTTGCTGCATAGGCGTTCCAATCTTTTTGAAGTTGTTGTTAAACCTGTATCAAGACTATAGATCGACAAAACACGTAATAAATAAAACAAAATACAAACTTTCATACCATACATTATATTAACAATCTTACAGAATAAAACAACAAAAATGTTCAAAAATTACAAAGTAACATGTGATATTCACTTAAATAGAATCATTCTTGGAAAGCTAGAATTAGGAATCGTCAAATCGACTAAAAGAGTAAAAGCCTAAAATGTTATAATTGGGCCCAAAATTTTTAGGGCGGCCCGTTCCCCGTTCCATATTTAACATTGGATCACCCTCAGGCATGACCCAGCCTTGCAAAATGAGTTGGAGGTCTAGATTTAACTCCTTATCTCTCCATGATGGTTGTGGGACCCGTGTAGTGGGATGCACCAGAGGGTAGCGTCATACATGTATGTAATTAAGCTTATGCTCATTTCTTTTTCCTCTTCTATCTCTCAGGACAGACAAATGGGCACAGGCTGAACTTGGAACCAAATGGGGAGATAAATGGGAGGAGAGGTTTTTCGCTGGTGTTGGTTCTCGTCAAGGAGAGACATGGCATATATCGCCCACTGGTGAACGTATGTCTCTTCCTATATTTTAGTGAATCATATAAGCATTTCAGTATACTCCTAACTGTCCCCAAAAAGTTGCACTGGCTAACTAGGCACATAGAATAATGAAGGTGTTATGATCATTAGTGAAATGTCTAAAATACTCTTCAATAATGACAAAAACAAACGAAATCTTTATAGACAAATGATCAATATTCAAGATCTACATTTATATACTAGGAACTTTGAGCTTATTGTTTTTCTAGTTATACCACGAGTCACCGAACATAAATTGGTTTTAAATGCTAATCACTCGTCGAGCAATGCTAGAAGCAAAAAACTCCAACCGTCTCATGAAAGTTGCAATACTTTGATTGGATGCATGGTTTGATTAAAGTGTTTGATTATCAGTGAAATGTCTAAAATACCTTTTAATAACGGCAACAAGAGAATCTTTTGAACCAAAATCAATAGCATATCAATAATATATCAAGGTCACAATGGTAAATAGGTAATCTTAGCTTCTCGTTTTGCTAGGGGGTCATCTCAGTATTGCTACACATCGCAAAATAGAAATTGTTGCAATTTTTGTGGGACTGAAGGAGTAACGTTTTAAAGATGCATTTCTTTTTTCTATAAAGATTTCAAGTTAAATTTACTTTTTTGCCCACGACTACTCTATCATCACAAACCGATTATATCGACTTCGATTCATTTTGGATAAAGATTTCGGAGGATCTGTTGAAGCAAAAATTTGCACAAAATCCCTATATTCTTCATTTTGGAGAATCTATTGAAGATGCTAATGTCCGATCAAACATTACAATTTTCATGAAACTTTGGGAGTATAAATGGCTTGGCCACTAGTTTCGTTAACTTTCTTGTCTATAATGTTATGAGATACCGAAAAACACGAAGGTTGTTAGAGTTTGTGTACGTATAATCACCATAACGTTTCGTACATGTTTCAGGTTGGTCAAGGACATGGGGCGAAGAGCATTTCGGAAACAGGTATCTATCAAATGATTCAACAAGTTTATTTTATATCGTTTGATAATCCTGTTTCAGTAGAGTACGCTCAACATTTTAAATTTCATGACGTTTGTATTACTTTTGTCCAGCAAGGTTCACAAGTACGGGAAAAGCACGACAGGTGAAAGTTGGGATACCGTTGTAAACGAGGAAACTTATTACGAGTAAGTTTTCGATATTCATATTTTGTTTGTTTACATCTATCTTTGCATCAAGTGAAAGACCTAGCCATGGTTCATATTTTCATGGTCGTTTCAAGCCATATAAACATAACTCTCAAAATACGACATTTTTTAAAAGTATATAATATTTATATACGACAAATAAATCTCACACATACTCTTCACCTTTAGTGAGATTGGAACCCTTGACCTTTAAAAGGTTTGGTTACTTGATACTGCTCGGCCAACGACTATTTGGTTCAAAATACGACCTTCATGGTTCATATCATTGTAGTTTTTTTTTTCTTTTCAAAATCGGTATGATGCCAACCTCTAGAACGCCCCCACTATACTGGTTTCGTGACTATCATGGGGGTGTAAATCATATTGTAAGGCCAAGTGGGTGGTGTCTAGAGTCGAATCCTAGACCTCCCACTCACTCTCGTTGGACTGGACGGAACTCGACTAGTAAGAGTGAAGTAAGCAGGTGAAAGGACCATGGAAAGTTAAAAGGTTGTAATTTGACATGAGTAGCTTAATAATTTACATTTTTGCCCCATCCAGTTATGTTTATGTTCCAATAGATGTTCACGCCAAACGTGGAATAAATTTTTGATCTGTCATGTCCTTTTCTGTATATCCCGCATACTAGACGTTGATGTCTACCTACTTACTAGGCCAAAAATATCGAGAACAAATAAACATAACCCTCAAAGTATTTTCGGAGTTGTTTGTTGCCGTATAAACATAACCCTCGGAATACGACCTTTAAACATCAATTTTATGTTTTTGATTCAAGGGCGGAACCTCATTACAGTTGGGCCGATGTCATTGGTGACTCGACTCAATTGCTATCCATCCAACCTCAGGAGAAACCACCCGGTGTCTATTCATATATCGACTTTGGATCCTCTCCAACGCCACCACCACCTCAAAACGGTGGTCCGCCAGCGATGCCGCCAAGAAATCAATAACAGGTTGCATGATTTTTGTAATTGAACCCTCATCTGATAATCAGATGATTTGAGCATGCCTCAATTTTTGCATGTAAATGTGTTGGCTTTTCAATTTTGCTTGCTTAATTATAGTTATCTCTTTCCTTTTAAGCAATCTAACGTTTAAAAGTACCAATTTGCCCTTAGAATGATTAAGTTCAATATGAACACATGAGGATTAGGCTCTTTCACACTTGTTGAATGGTTTGGTACAGAATGATTAAGAGTCTCTTGTAATATAGTGCAAAATAAAATATAATTGTCTGATAATTGTTTACAATGAAATTAAAGTGTTGAATGGTTAAGGGAGAACCTGTATGCAAAATCATTCGGAGGGTTTTAGAACCATTATGAAGCAGACTTTTTTTTTACCAAACAAAATTCACCTCTTAACGATTCAGAAGCTGCCTCTTAATAAAATTATTAAAAGGTAAACAAACAACTTAGGGAATGCCTATGAAGACCCCCATGAGGTCCTGTGCATTCATGATTCCATTCAATTGATTTTTGCAACTACAAAGGTATATGCGTTAACGGGTGTTCTGAGATATTAAAAAATACAAGAGATATCAACCAAAAAACAGAAAAAATCTCCCAAAATCAGCAACAAATTCCCTTAAAACCAACCAAAAAACGTAAAATATCTTTTGAAACGGTAGAATTTAAGCCCGGATTAAAAGATGGACCTGCTCAGTAAAAATCCTGGATTCATTGACGTGTAATATGTGATACAGTTTGTGCCTAACACCCGCCGACATATAAGATCAACTGCATTATCAATAGTTATCGGTAATATTTTAGTCCATCAAAACGATATCGTATACAACAATTTACCCGGTAAGTGTTTACGTGGTAAGTGTTTACCATTGTAAGAGTTGTCGTCCTCACTTACCAGGCAAAACTCTTGATCCTTGTCTCCACTCTTACCAGATAAGATTTTTAGTTGTCTCCACTCTTATCAGATAAGATTCTTAGTCTTTACCATGTAAAGTAATGTCACTTGGTAAGCGCTTACCCGAGTAAGCATTTGGTATTGCAAATCAAATCGATCGATTTTGAAAGTTGATAAATTTGAATAACGTAAGTGTAAGGCTCAGATGTGTTTAATCAATCAGAAGAGCAGAGATACATACCGCCATGGCTGCAACCCTTCTTCGACAAGATCATTGAAAAAAAATTCAATCAATTTCTCATCTTAGCAGAGTTACCCCGCCAAGATACGGCGGATGTACGCCGCTCGATTCGCCTCAAATTATATCATCGTCACAGCCCCGATCTCATTGTTTTCACCGATCGAAACGATAAAATCAAAAGCAGAAAACCTTCATTCAGAATGAAACCCTAACCCTTTACCCTAAAACAACAACATAATTGTTGATCCGAGCAACTCATCGGCTACAGAGACAAGAGGAGTGGTGGTGGTGGCAGTGACGGCGGTGGTGGTGACGACGGTGGCGATGGGGGAAACCGTCGTCTAAAAACCTCCATTCCATTCCATTCCCCTGTACTGTTTTGCCTCGTTGATATAAATCCTTAGAATTTGGGTGAAGCTTTTTGGATATACATGGTTCGTGGGATACATGAATTTCCCATTTTATCCTCTAGAATCCTTCTTAAGTAGGAGGGGTATATTAGTAAAATAATAAATTCATAGGAATTACGAATTTGATGGTATTTCCCTTTTTTAACGAAATACGTAAGTTGAGTAATGAGTATAATTAAAGAATATTTTGAATTTTTATTACCTCCAATTTAATCAAGAATAAAATTTTGGGTTTTTTGGGAAATAAACTCATTATATCTATATCTATACTATCTTATAAAGCATTTGGCTAAAACTCTTAAAAACTCTTAAAACTCTTAAAGCTCTTAAAAACTCTTAAAAACTCTTAAACCCGTTAATCCCTAAACGATTTCATCCATATCCGATTTCATCTCATATCTGAATTCGTATAACTAACAGCAGATAAACACAATCAAATACAGGATAAACATCTCATTTTAAATATAAAAAATCTAAAATATAATAAGTATAATCATTAAATTCTAACAGAATACTTAATTATTATCTTTATAAAATTTATAATATTAAACCAAAAATAAATTGTTTTATTATTAAACTTAAATTAAATTATATAAAAAAATATTTTATAT